AGGATGAGTACTGAGCATGGAATTGGCAGCCAGTCTATATCCCGGCCCTCCTAGTGTAGCCCACATGGGTGCATCCACGTTAACCTGATAGGTGAGGGGGTTATATGGGGTACAAATCAATGGAGGATGAGTACTGAGCATGGAATTGGGCAGCCAGTCTATATCCGGCCCTCCTAGTGTAGCCCACATGGGTGCATCCACGTTAACCTGATAGTGAGGGGGGTTATATGGGGTACAAATCACATGGAGGATGAGTACTGAGCATGGAAGTGGGCAGCCAGTCTATATCCGGCCCTCCTAGTGTAGCCCACATGGGTGCATCCACGTTAACCTGATAGTGAGGATGTGACGGGGCACAAAGCACACGCGCTTAGGGCGTGTGACCTCCGTGTCGAACATTGGAAAAGTTTGAACACTGTAGCATGTTACAAGTTTCGCGAACGTCGGCAGTGCTTTTGCGATTTTCGCCAAAAAAACTCGCGAAGTCACCATGAACGATTTTTGAGTCGACTCAAAAATCACCTCGCGAAGTCACCATGAATGGCATAAAAAAGGGTGCCAACACCCCTGTTCGAATGGCAGGCCCTGCCCGTGAGCACGGAACACACTCGCGCCAATCTGGCGTCCTGCGAAAATGTGCGAGGGCAAACTGGCGCGACAGGTGACCAGATTCTGCCCGAGCGGACAGCCTGCCCACACCAAGCCTACTTCCCGCAGCGATAGAGCCCACGAGCCCAATTTCTACAGCGCGGGCATGAAAGGTCTGGGAGGGGTTTTGGAGGCACGGGGCAGGTATGGTTGGGTTTCGTGATTGGCGACGTATTTGCGGGGTTTGTCACTCTTCGTAACGATTCGAATTTCAGAGATTCAAAGTGGTTTGGGCCTCGGGATCTAGTTTTGAGGCGCCTCAAAACTATCACGCAAAACTAGACTCCTATCACGCAATTTCAGAGATTCAAAATGGGGCCTCGGGATCCATGGTTTTGGCGCTTGCCACAGCTGAAACTCACACGAATGTGCGAACAACAGATTTCGTTGTTCGCACACCTTCGGGATTCGAAATCGTGCGAATTTCGGCCCCCCACTGCCGAGGTCACACGTCCTTAAAGTCACGAGACAATATCCATGTTTCAGTCCGCATAGCATCTCAATACAATCACATTTCACGGATGTGTTAACGGGGGGTTAAGGTGTCTGAATTCCAGCAGAGGTGTGGGGGGGAGGGGGGGCGAGCGGTTGTAGACGAATTTTTGCAATGTTATCCACGTGTCAGCAGTCGCATCTGAGCATGATCACCTTGTGAATGGTGAGGGGCGGGTTGAGGTGCCTGAGTCCCAGCATAGGGGGACACGAGCATCCAGCAGCAGGTGACGAACTCTAGGGGCTGGCTCTTCTCACGCCACGATGCATGTCAAGAGTATGCTGTAGCCTGTAGTATGCTGATCATGTCAGTACCTTGAGTAGGCTGTAGCGCACCTTATGGATGGTCAATGGCGGGTTGAGGTGCCTGAACCCCAACAGGGGAGGTTGCGAGCAGCTGGTGGCGGATTTTCTCGATCAGATACAGCCCACCATTCACATCAGTCACATCAAGTCTCAGCATAATCACCTTGTGTATGGTCAATGGCGGGTGGAGGTGCTTGAACCCCAGCAGGGGAGGTCGCGAGCAGCTGGTGACGAATTTGAGTAGCTGGCTCTTCTCCTCCCTTGACAGGCCAGCCACCACCTGATGGTGGGTAGTGGCAGGGAAGATGGGCAGCAAGCAGCGGAAAGAGAAAGGGAAAGAGGGGAAGAAACCAGACCTGCTGTGAACCTCACAAGCAGCTGGTGACGAATTTGAGTAGCTGGCTCTTCTCCTCCCTTGACAGGCCGGCCACCACCTGACGGTGGGTCAGAAGGCAAAAGAAGTGGGGCGGGAGGGGACAGACACGGGGACGGTACATCCACGACGGGGACGGGGAAGGTACATCTGATGAATACGTAGGTGAATTTTGAGTCGACTCAAAAATCACGGTCGGAAGGCAAAAGGAGTGGGGCAGGAGGAGGGGAAAGAGACGGGGAAGGACACAGGGACGGTACATCTGATGAGTACTGTCACGTGGTGAGGAGCTAGGGCCTAGTGGCGAACTTGAGAGCAGCTGGCTCTTCTTCTCAAGTGACAAGCCGGCCTGCCACCAACTGATGGCCGGCTTGTCACTCGTCAGGTGGTAGCAGAGTGATGGGCAGAAGAGGGAGGGGAAGGCAGATGCACATAGTGGTGGTGGTGGTGTGCAGTGAACCTCGCACTTTTGAGGCGCCTCAAAAGTGGTGGTGGTGTGCAGTGAACCTCGCAAGCAGCTGCCCGATTCGAGGAACTGCCACTTCTTCCTCCCAACCGACACTGCCCCTAAAATTTCTCTTCCTGGCCTCACAGTATTCAAAACACGCACCTGCGAGAACATCTGGATGCTTCGGTGGCTGGCTGAATACCCACCCAGAGTACCGCATGTGTGCTTTCCGGTCCCCCACATACCGCTCTCGATTCCCCTCGCTGCATTGGCCGTCATGCACACCTCCCAGCTTGTTTTTTGAGAATTCTCAAAAACACCCTGCAAAATCATTGGCTGCTGTCATGCACACCTCCCAGAGTCCACCATACAAGCACGAACCTGCCAGAACATTTGAATGGTTCGGTCGCTGTCCGAATACCCCCCAGAGTACTGCGTGTGGGCCCTTAGGTCCTCCACATCCACGTCCTGCTCCCCGCCTGACAGCAGCTGCACACAGGAGACACATAGCACATAGGGCAACATGTCGGGACAGGATTAATGGCCCAGAGTGGCGCGCCCTTAGTTCCTCCACATCCACATCCTGCTCCCCGCCTGACAGCAGCTGCACACACAGAAAGACATAGCGCATAGGGTAGCGCATAGAAATGGGGTAGAATGTCCGGAGTACCGCGTGTGCGCCCTTAGGTCCTCCACATCCACATCGTGCTCCCCGCCTGAGAGCAGCTGTACGCATTCACACACAACGGGAAAGAAAGCACAGGGTAAGATGCACAGGGTGAGATGCACAGGGTGAGATGCACAGGGTGAGATGCACAGGGTGAGATGCACAGGGTGAGATGCACAGGGTAAGATGCACAAGGTAAGATGCACAGGGTAAGATGCACAGGGTGAGGCGAGCAGAGACGCGTGCCATTAGGTCCTCCACATCCACATCGTGCTCCCCGCCTGACAGCAGCTGCACATAGAGGACGACACAGGGCTACACTGGCAGACACGAGACAGGCAAGCATACACGATAACACGTAACGGACTCGAGGCACATGCGCCCTGAGGCCCTCCACATCCACATCGTGCTCCCCGCCTGACAGCAGCTGCACATAGAGGACGACACAGGGCTACACTGTCAGACACGAGACAGGCAAGCATACACGATAAAACATCACGGACTCGAGGCACATGCGCCCTTAGGCCCTCCACAGGGTTGCCTTAGACCCTCCACATCCCTTCCACAAAGAAACTGTTGGAGAAAAAAGGGCGAGACGCATGAATGTCAGGTGAGCTAAGATAAGTGGCCAGAGTGGGCCTCCACATCCCTTCCTCACAGAAACTCTTGGAAACCAAGGGGTGAGTGAGACGCATGGCGATTAGGTGAGACATGAGTGCAGGTGGGAGCAGCTACATGGGATGGATGCATAGGAACATCTGCTTACGTACCTTCAGGAAGTACCACATTTAATTCTTGCCTAGGACATATCAAAAGCACAGGACGTGGACAGGAGCGGAGATCAATCAGCCCTGTTGTTTTCTCCTGGTTCTCACCTGCTCTGTTGCCACCTCCTGAATTCTCACCTGGTTAAACTCCTTGGGGCTGAATAGCCGCAGCCACTCGGGCCGAATCAGGTCCGAGAGGCCCCTGAGGAACGCCGCCACCACTGCTGCCATCTGGAACGGGCGGGACAGACAGGACAGAGCGTTGATTAAACTAACGGGATAAGAGAGCCAAGTACTTGAACAGCCGCAGCCATTCAGGTTGCATAAGGTCCGAGAGGCCCCTGAGGAACACCGCCACCACTGCTGCCATCTGGAACGGGCGGGATAGAGGAGACAGAGTGTTGATTAAACTAACGGGATAAGAGAGCCAAGTACTTGAACAGCCGCAGCCATTCAGGTTGGATAAGGTCCGAGAGGCCCCCGAGGAACGCCGCCACCACTGCTGCCATCTGGAACGGGCGGGAAAGAGAGGACAGAGCGTTGACTAAACTAACGGGATAAGAGAGCCAAGTACTTGAACAGCCACAACCATTCAGGTTGCATAAGGTCCGAGAGGCCCCTGAGGAACGCCGCCACCATTGCTGCCATCTGATGGGGTGGGTGGTGTTGAGGGGAGGTGGGGAGAGCGGGGAGAAGAACGGATAGGGTCAAGAGTAAGAGGGGAGGGAGCACAGGGCAGGCTGAACTGCCGCAGCCATTCTGTCTGAATCAAGTCCGAGAGGCCCCTGAGGGACGCCGTCGCCACCGCTGCCATCTGATAGGGTGGGTGGGGAGGGAGAGGGCAAGAGCAGTCAGGTAAATCGGTGGTCAGGGGTGGTCTTGCCCCCCACCCTCCACCCCTCTTGCCCTCCCCTCCCCGCCGCCACCACCGCTGCCATCTGATAGGGTGGGTGGGGAGGGAGAGGGCAAGAGCGGTCAGGTAAATCAGTGGTCAAGGGTGGTCTTGCCCCCACCCTCCACCCCTCTTGCCCTCCCCCTCCCCGCCGCCACACCGCTGCCATCTGATAGGGTGGGTGGGGAGGGAGAGGGCAAGAGCGGTCAGGTAAATCAGTGGTCAGGGTGATCTTGCCCCCCCACCTCCACCCTCTTGCCCTCCCCTCCCCCGCCGCCACCACGCTGCCATCTGATAGGGTGGGCGGGGAGGGGGACGGCAAGAGGGGTGGAGGGTGGGGGGGGGAGGAGAGGAGAAAGGGTAGGATCAGCAGAGAGAGGGGAGGGAGTGCAGGGCATGCTGAACTGCTGCAGCCATTCAGGCTGGATCAAGCATGAAAGGTCCCTTGAAAGAGCCACTCTAACTCACCCTGAAATTTCACCTGTATGCTGCATTCAAAAGTAGCAAGAAACAATGGGTCTGTGGTTGTCTGTTGAGCTTGTAATCAGCCACAGCATGAATATACTGCAGCAGGTTCTCATGGGTCACTGTGGATACCACCTGACCACCGTTGAAATCACCTGAACTTTCACCTGGTGGTTAAGCACCAACTAAGCCTGTAGATAGTCACAGCATGAATGCACCGTCCCTTGTTCTCGTTGGTTACTGTTGAAACCACCTGACCACTGTCGATTTACCTGAGCTCTCACCTGACGGTTGAGCCTGTAGTCCACCACAGCATGAATGGACTGCAGCTTGTTCTCACCAATCACAGTTGAATGAAACCACCTGACCACTGTTGATTTCACCTGAAATCTTACCTGACGGTTGAGCTTGTAGTCAGCCATAGCATAAACGCATTGCAGCCTGTTCCCATTGGTCACTGATGAAACCACCTGACCACTGTTGATTCCACCTGAACTCTCACCTGACGGTTGAGCTTGTAATCCGCCACAGCATGGATGTACTGCAGCTTGTTCTCGTTGGTCACTGCGATGTGGCTGCCGCCCGGCCGCAGCTCCACTATGCTGTGCTCGCCAAGTACCTCCTCTGTGACTGTGAAGTCCAATGCGAGCTCTGATGCGTCCCCTTCATAGTGCTGCAAGGGGGGGGGGAGGGGGGGACAATAATGCAGAAACGTAGGAGAGGGAGGGGTTGGAGGTTGGAGGCACCAGCTCCACTATGCTGTGCTCGCCTAGTACCTCCTCTATTACTGTGAAGTCCAATGCTAGCTGTGATGCGTCCCCTTCATAGTGCTGAATGGTTGGGGAAAAGAGGAGCCAGAGAGGCAGGGGTTGGATGGAGCCCGAAGCTCCACCATGCTCTGCTCGCCAAGTACCTCCTCTCTGTTACTGTGACGTCCAGAGATATCTCTGAGGCGTCGCCTTCATAATGCTGGATGGGGAAGGGGATCAAGGGGAGGACAACAAGCAGGAGAAACAGAGAACTTAAGGTTGGAGGCCGCATCTCCACTATGCTGTGCTCGCCCAGCTCCTCCTCCGTCACTGTGTCGTCCAGAGCCAGTTCCGACGCATTGCCGTCATAATGCTCCGAGGCGGTCGGGAGGGGCAATGAGACAAAAAGGAGGAGAGGCAAGGGTTGGAGACCTCAGCTCCACTCCGCTGTGCTCGCCTAGTACTTAGTCTGTTACTGTGACCGTTGAGTCGACTCAAAAGTCACTGCGCTGTGCTCGCCTAGTACTTAATCTGTTACTGTGACCGTCCAGAGCCAGGTGGGAAGGATAGGGATTTGAGGATGGAAGCAACCCTTCTCCAGTGGCTGTGCAGTCGAGAGCTCGCTCTCTCGGAGGTATCCCCTCGCAGTGCTGGATGGTTGCGAACGAAAGGACATCAAGCATGAGGGAGAGGCAAAGGTTGGAGGCTGGAGATGCACTATGCTGAGCTCGACAACCCTTCTCCAGTGGACTGTGAAGTCGAGAGCTCGCTCTCTCAGAGGTATCCCCTTGCAGTTCTTTCACGGCCGAGCTACTAACCCCACGGCCGAGCTACTAACCCCACGGCCGAGCTACTAACCCCACGGCCGAGCTACTTACCCCACGGCCGAGCTACTTACCCCACGGCCGAGCTACTAACCCCACGGCCGAGCTACTTACCCCACGGCCGAGCTACTTACCCCACGGCCGAGCTACTAACCCCACGGCCGAGCTACTAACCCCACGGCCGAGCTACTTACCCCACGGCCGAGCTACTTACCCCACGGCCGAGCTACTTACCCCATGGCCGAGCTACTAACCCCATGGCCGAGCTACTAACCCCATGGCCGAGCTACTTACCCCATGGCCGAGCTACTAACCCCACGGCCGAGCTACTTACCCCACGGCCGAGCTACTTACCCCACGGCCGAGCTACTAACCCCACGGCCGAGCTACTAACCCCACGGCCGAGCTACTTACCCCACGGCCGAGCTACTTACCCCACGGCCGAGCTACTTACCCCATGGCCGAGCTACTAACCCCATGGCCGAGCTACTAACCCCATGGCCGAGCTACTTACCCCATGGCCGAGCTACTAACCCCACGGCCGAGCTACTAACCCCACGGCCGAGCTACTAACCCCACGGCCGAGCTACTAACCCCACGGCCGAGCTACTAACCCCACGGCCGAGCTACTAACCCCACGGCCGAGCTACTAACCCCACGGCCGAGCTACTTACCCCATGGCCGAGCTACTAACCCCATGGCCGAGCTACTAACCCCATGGCCGAGCTACTTACCCATGGCCGAGCTACTAACCCCACGGCCGAGCTACTAACCCCACGGCCGAGCTACTAACCCCACGGCCGAGCTACTAACCCCACGGCCGAGCTACTAACCCCACGGCCGAGCTACTAACCCCACGGCCGAGCTACTTACCCCATGGCCGAGCTACTAACCCCATGGCCGAGCTACTAACCCATGGCCGAGCTACTTACCCCATGGCCGAGCTACTAACCCCACGGCCGAGCTACTAACCCCACGGCCGAGCTACTAACCCCACGGCCGAGCTACTAACCCCACGGCCGAGCTACTAACCCCACGGCCGAGCTACTAACCCCACGGCCGAGCTACTAACCCCACGGCCGAGCTACTTACCCCATGGCCGAGCTACTAACCCCATGGCCGAGCTACTAACCCCATGGCCGAGCTACTTACCCCATGGCCGAGCTACTAACCCCACGGCCGAGCTACTAACCCCACGGCCGAGCTGCTAACCCCACGGCCGAGCTACTAACCCCACGGCCGAGCTACTAACCCACGGCCGAGCTACTAACCCCACGGCCGAGCTACTTACCCCATGGCCGAGCTACTAACCCCATGGCCGAGCTACTAACCCCATGGCCGAGCTACTAACCCCATGGCCGAGCTACTAACCCCACGGCCGAGCTACTAACCCCACGGCCGAGCTACTAACCCCACGGCCGAGCTACTAACCCCACGGCCGAGCTACTAACCCACGGCGAGCTACTAACCCCACGCCGAGCTACTAACCCCACGGCCGAGCTACTTACCCCATGGCCGAGCTACTTACCCCATGGCCGAGCTGCTAACCGCAAGGCCGAGCTACTTACCCCATGGCCGAGCTGCTAACCGCAAGGCCGAGCTACTAACCCCATGGCCGAGCTGCTAACCGCAAGGCCGAGCTACTAACCCCATGGCCGAGCTACTAAACCCCATGGCCGAGCTACTAACCCCATGGCCGAGCTACTTACCCCATGGCCAAGCTACTAAACCTATGGCCGAGCTACTAACCCCATGGCCGACCTACTTACCCCATGGCCGACCTACTAACCCCATGGCCGAGCTACTTACCCCATGGCCGACCTACTAACCCCATGGCCGAGCTACTAACCCCATGGCCGAGATACTAACTGCATGGTCGAGCTGCTGACCCCGTGGCCGAGCTACTTACCCCATGGCCAAGCTACTAAACCCATGGCCGAGCTACTAACCCCATGGCCGAGCTACTTACCCCACGGCCGACCTACTAACCCCATGGCCGAGCTACTAACCCCATGGCCGAGCTACTAACTGCATGGCCGAGCTGCTGGCCCCACGACAGAGTACAAGGCCTTGGGCACGATGGCAGACAAGTCACCAAGATATACAGGCAGACCCACCTTGAGGTACATGAGGTTGCGATTGAGCTCCACGTCCAAGCTCGATAGCTCGTCCAGAATCGCGCATCTCCCAACAAGCTTCGACACAACCTCTCTTCGAGGGGTGCGAAGTTGTACTCGAGAAGAATCCCCTCGTAGAGCACCTTGCCCCACTATGCGCCCCAGCACAACTGAGTATATTCTCAAAACGAAAAGTCGCCCCAACGTCCTTGCTGATGCTCCCCTAAAACCGACCCACCTTGAGGTACAGGTTGCGGTGAGCTCCACATCTTGGAAATGCAGCTCGTCCAGGAAATGCGCACTGCTACTCCACCAGCTCGGGGATAGAGGCTCATTGGCGAGCATCAGGCGTGAGGAGTCTATTTTTGAGGCGTCTCAAAAATAGATTCCTCGCGTATTTTTGAGGCACCTCAAAAATAGAACTCCTCAACGTATTTTTGAGGCGCCTAAAAAATAGACTCCACCAGCTCGGGGATAGAGGCTCATTGGCGAGCATCAGGTAGAGACCTAAGCACCGGACCCACCTTGAGGTACGTGAGGTGTCTATTTTTGAGGCGCCTCAAAAATAGGTTGCGGTACAGCTTCACATCCAAGCTGGACAGCTCGTCCAGGAGCTTCGACACTAACAGTGGTGCAAAGTTGTGCTCGAGGAGAATGCCCTTGTAAAGGGGGTGCCCACTGCCCACTATGCTCACACGCTAAAGTTGCACCCACCTTGAGGTACATGAGGTTGCGGTAGAGCTCCACATCCAGCGAGGAGAGCTCGTCCAGGAACGCGTATCTCCCAACGAGCTTCGACACAAAGAGGGGCGCGAAGTTGTACTCCAGGAGAATGCCCTCATAGAGCGCCTTGCCCACTATGCGCCCCAAGAACTCCACCATCGGAATGCCGTGGCCCAGCGCTGCTGCTGCCGGATGGGGATACAGATAGCCTTCTTCAGTTGCTGCTTGGAGGAAAAGACCATACCTGGGGAGAGGGAGGGCGGGCAGGGATGGGGGCGGACAGGAAAGCGGGGGGAAAAAGGCCCCAAAAAGTGTTTCTGGGGAGGGAGGGAGTAAGCAGGAGGGAAGGGTCCCTTCGTGCAGCAAGAGCGCCTTGCCCACTATATGCCCCAGGAACTCCACCATCGGAATGCCGTGGCCCAGCGCCGCTGCTGCTGCCAGGTGGGGATAGAGGTAGCCTTCCTCCGTTGCTGCCTGGAGAAACAGCAAGTAGCTGTTAAGGGAAAGGGGAGGGGGGAGAGGAGGGAGGATCTCCACCATCGGAATGCCGTGGCCCAGCGCCGCTGCTGCCGGGTGGGGATACAGGTACCCCTCTTCTGTTGCTGCCTGGAGAAACAGCCCGTAGCTGGGGAAAGGAGGGGTGAATAGGGGCGGAAGGGAAGCACCATCGGAATGCCGTGGCCCAGCGCCGCTGCTGCCGGATGGGGATACAGATACCCTCCTCGGTTTCTGCTTGGAGAGGAAGAGACTGTAGCTGGGGAAAGGAGGGGTGGAAGGGGGAGATGGGAGAGGGGAGGACGGGGTGGAGTGGAGGGGAACGGTGTGGAAAAGGAGAGGAGAGGGAAAGCCTGCTTTAGCCGAACCTGATCCATGCCTATCTAGGTATCACCGGCATTCCCTCACAGGACCTTACCTGGTAAAACCTAATCCAAGTGCCGCCTACCCGAAGTGCACCTACCCCGAGTGATGGCACCTACGCCAAGTGGTACCTACCCCAAGCGGCACCTACCCCTGGTCGAAGACTGGCTTAGCGAGGTCAGTGAGGAACTCCTTAAAGAGCCCGCCCTGGTCCATGCCTATCCAGGCACAACAGGTACCAACGTCCCTCCTTACCACCTACCCAAACCACCATCACTCGACAATACAGCATCTGAAGTCTAGTTTTGAGGCGCCTCAAAACCTACCCAACCCACCATCACTCGATAATACCGCATCTGAAGATCCCCATTCCACTACCTACCCCGGGTCGAAGGCTGCCTTAGCGAGGTCAGTGAGGAACTCCTTGAACAGTCCGCCCTGATCCATGCCTATCTCCTCCGCTCCAAACGCGTTCACGAATGACACCCGCACACGGCCCTGCGAGGTGGTGATGGTAAATGGTGGAAGCATAAGAAACAGCAAACAATGGTAAGCTGAAAAACAATCCGCCCTGATCCATGCCTATCTCCTCCGCTCCAAACGCGCTCACGAATGACACCCGCACACGGCCCTGAGATGTGGCTAGTGGGAGAAGGGACGGTGCAAGCAAGGAGAACCGCTCATACAGTCCGCCCTGGTCCATGCCTCTCTCCTCGCCTCCAAAGGCGCCCCCGAATGTACTCGCACACGGCCCTGCGAGGTGATGGCGGTAAATGGTGGAAGTGGAATACACGACGAACAATGGTACGATGAAAAACAGTCCGCCCTGGTCCATGCCTCTCTCCTCGCCTCCAAAGGCGCCCCCGAATGTACTCGCACACGGCCCTGCGAGGTGATGGCGGTAAATGGTGGAAGTGGAATACGCGACGAACAATGGTACGATGAAAAACAGTCCGCCCTGGTCCATGCCTCTCTCCTCGGATACAAACGCATCCAGGAATGACGACACCCGCACCCGGCCCTGTGAGTGAATGGTGGTAAATGGTGAAAGCAGAATATTCAACGAACAATGATCCCAGAACCCACTCTCTCCCCCCCGACCTTTCTCCCCACAAGCTGCTCTCAGCTCTCCGACTCTTGCTGTGGTGGCAGCAGCTGGGGACCTTGAGGCACTGGGGCGTGCCACACAGCGGGCCAAGAGTCTAGGAGATGTGGTGGCGTTGAGGGTGGCTGGTAGTGGCGCAGTGCCGGCGCCTTTTGCCCTGGGCACGGAACTCGAGGCCGTTGAACACGCCGCCAAGGTTCCGTGCCCAGGGCGAAGGGCGCGGGCACCGCGCCACTATCAGCCACCCTCGCCGCCACCACGACTCCTAGACTCTTGGCCCGCAGAGCACCATATCCCAGCGCCTCAAGGTTCCTTACTGCTGCCACCACAACAAGAGCTGAAGAGCTGAGCGCAGCGTGATATCCTGGTGCCATTGTTTGGGTGGGTGCTGGTGGCATGTGCGGGCGTTCACAAATGACACCCGCACACGGCCCTGTGAGGTCGGGAGGGAGAATGAGCAACAATGGTAAGATGAGAAACAGTCCACCTTGGTCCATCATCCATGCCCATCTCCTCGGCTCCAAACGCATCCAACAACAACACCCCGCGCACACGAACCAAGGTTGGGAGAAAAGTGAGGAAAGGGGCAAGGGGGCATGGGCGGCCCCCCTCTCTTATGAGCCCTCATCAATGCCTTGAGCATGGGCCCTAGCTGGTTGAGGCGGACAAAGGCGCGGCGTCTTCCACTAGCAGATCCCACTGCATGGTATTTTTGTCAAATCTTCAAAATGCACGTCCACCACTGGCCGCTCAGTCCCATGCCCTGGCGAATCAACAACCTCAGCAATAATTTCCCAAAAGCACCACCTCAATTTCCCCTTCACAATACCTTGAGCATGGGGCCCAGCTGGTTGAGGCGGACGAAAGCGTCTTCCACCAGCAGGTCGCGCCGAACAGACACGTCCACCACTGGCCTCACCATCCCAGCCCCAGGTGCAATACGCAACCCGTTCCTCGCCTTATCCACTTGAATCAACTCGCGGAATATGTGAACTCTGCCAGGGGAAACATGGAGGAACAAGGACGCGGCCGAGGCGTTGAGAGAGGAGAGTGACAGGCGTATGCACGAGACACGCCTCAAGACACGTCCACCAAGGGCCGCAGAGTGCCAGCCCCGGGCGCTATGCCCAACTCGTGCCTCGCCTCGTACGCTCGAATCAACTCCCGGAATATGTACACTCTGACATGGGCGACATGGGGTGAGAAGGAGGCGACGGATGTGTGTGCGGAAACAGAGAGCAATGGGAGCACGTGAGTCCTGCTCTCGCCGCACTCACACGTCCACCACGTCCAGGAGGATGCGTCCGTGAGAGAGACAGGATGATGCGTCAGTGAGAAAGACAGGATGATGCGTCCGTGAGAAAGGCAGGATGATGCGTCGGTGAGAGAGACAGGATGATGCGTCGGTGAGAGAGACAGGATGATGCGTCGGTGAGAGAGACACGAAGATGCGTCGGTGAGAGAGACAGGATGATGCGTCGGTGAGAGAGACAGGATGATGCGTCGGTGAGAGAGACAGGAAGATGCGTCGGTGAGAGAGACAGGATGATGTGTCAGTGAGAAAGGCAGGATGATGCGCCAGTGAGAAAGACAGGATGATGCGTCTGTGAGAGAGATACGTGCAGCACTTGACCCACAAAGCCCTCTCATCCAAATGCGTTTTCAACACAACAGCCACCGCTGATCCACCACCCCCCCCACCCAGCACCATTACCCCCTCACGGGCTTTTTCCGCGTACATCCTCGTGGTCTTTCCCTGCTCCCTGCTGCTACATACCTCTTCTCAAACGGCAGCACGTGAGGCAGCGTCCTCAAAACAGCTGCCATTGCTGACCCACCCTGCTGCTCCTTCCCCTTATCCATACCTCCTCTTCCTCTCCCTCCTCCTCCTCCTCCCCCTCCCGCGCCTCCCCCACCAGTTACGCCTGTGCCTAGTTCCCCCATCCACTCCCCAACCTCCCAGTCCTCCTCCCCTTCCTCCATCTGTACCCCCATTCCCCTCCCCCCTCTCCCCCTACCCCATGGTGCCTGGCTGCGCCTGCAGGGGGGAGAGAATTGGGGGGAGGAAGAGAATGCGGGGAAGTTGAGTTGACAAAGCGTCAAGAGCGCCGGATCACAGAATGCCCTGCGGGAGATGCGGTCAACGAGTGGGAGGAGGAGACAGCGAGTGGCAGCTTCGAAGAGAGCAATGTGCTCCAGTCTTTGCGGGGCTCCAGTCTTTGGGGCGGCTTCTAGTAGAGCAGTGCACTCCTGGTTTTGACGCAATCCCGTTGCTCCCTCTTACCTGCTGCTGAAATGACAGGAGGCGGGCGGCGATCAGCCGGGGCGAGCCAGAGGGCCGGTTCACAGAAGGCCCTTCTGCAGTCCCGGTCGTGCAGAGGGAGGAGGCAGCGCGTGGCGGCTTCTAGGAGCGCGGATTGCGAGGGAGTGAGAGAGGAGGAGGATGAGGAGGAGGAGGAAGAGGAGGAGGGGAGGAGATGAGAGTGTTGTAGACGAGGGTGTTGAGTGTGGCGGCAATGACTCGTTGCTCCGAGAGAGAGAAGGGCATCTGAGCGACGGGGAGGGGAAGGAGAAACGAGATGGGTCGATGTGGGAGGGGAAATAAAGCGATGAGAGTGCTGTGGACGAGGGTGCTGAGCGTGGCAGCAATGACTCGCTGCTCCGAGAGAGAGAAGAGGGCATCCGGAGGGTGGGGAAGGGAAGGAGAAGGGAATGAGATGGGGCAATGTGGAGATGAAGGAGAGGAGATGTGGAGATGTGGAGATGTGGAGATGGGCAAGGGGAGTATGTTGTAAACTAGGGTGTTGAATGTGGCTGCGGTGACTCGCAGCTCCGAGAGAGAGAAAGGCATCTGGCAGCGCGTCATCGAAGGAATAAGGGGGGAAAGGAAGGAGTAAGGGAAACAAGGGGCCGATTTTTGAGTGGACTCAAAAAGGGAAACAAGGGGCAAGCAAGCCAAGGGAAGGGGATGATTAGAGGGCATCTGCCCCCAGCTGTCGCTGGTAGAACTCCTCATCGTCCAATGCCAAGAAAAGATGGCATACGCCTGACAGAACACTTCAAAGGCAGTTGTTCGCAGTCCAAGCATCACCCCATTTGCTCTCTCCCTCACCCACCTGTCTCTGGTAGAACCCCCTCCGCATCATCCAACACCAGCAGCAGGTCGGCATACACCCGACAAAACACCGTCATCACCACCGCCACCACATCTGCCGCCACTCCCAGATCACCCCAAGCCCAAACCAACACCCAACAGACACCGCAGCACACCTCCAACGCCCACCAAATCTCACCTGTCGCTGGTAGAACTCCTCATCACCCAACATTAAAAGCAGGTGGGCTTACGCCCTGCAGAACAGAGTCATCACCACCGCCACACCTGCTGCCACTCCCCCACCCCTTCCTCATTCCGTGCATTCTCTAGGAAGCACCTCCACACGACACACCCCACATACCCAACAGACGCCTCACCTGACGCTGGTAGAACTCTTCATCGTCCAGCACCAGCAGCAGGTGGGCATACGCCCTGCAGGCCACCGTCACCACCGCCGCCGCCACACCTGCATGGAGCCTCAAAGCCATATCACAGACGCCTCACCTGTCGCTGGTAGAACTCTTCATCGTCCAGCACCAGCAGCAGGTGGGCATACGCCCTGCAGAACACTGTCATCACCACCGCCACGTCTGCCGCCACGCCCGCGCCCCCTTCCGCATCCCCTCCACGTCCCACCTCTCCCCTCCTCCCACTGCTCCCTCTCCCACTGCCTCCGCTCCCACTCTCTCCTCCCCTTCCCCTTCGCCTTCCCAATCCTCATAATCTTCCTCCATATAGTCACCCGCTGAAGTCTCCCAAAACGTCCTCCCTCCTCCTCCCCCTCCAACCCTTCCTCTCTGCGCCTCTGCCGCTCGTCTCTGGAAGGTGGAGGAGAGAAACGTTGACCACCGCTGGGCCGCCGTTGACCCTGCTTGACCCGACTGGCCAGATTGACCTGTTTGACCCGTTTGACCCGTTTGCCGCCCACCCATCAACGCAGCCAGCACAGAGTCATCATCACTTGCAGTCCCGTGCGGCCCTCCCTGGCCGGCAGACTCTGTCTGCATGCGGTCAACACCTCCTGCTGCTCCTCCTTGTGGGGCCCACTCATCCTCCTCCGCCCTCCTCTCACCGCCCTCCCCTCCTCCCCCATACCCTTCCAAAAACGACCTAGGGAACCAGCTGCCCGAGAACTGGGGCAGCTGAAAAGAACCGGCTACCCCTCCCCCTTGCCTGTGCCTATCCCTCCCTGACCTTCCTCTCCTCCTGCCCGAACCTCCTCTCGCTCCCGCACCAGCAGCAGCAGAACCAGAACCAGCAGCACCAGCACCAGCAGCAGCAGCAGTGGAAGCGGGAGATGCAGCAGCAGTGGAGGCAGCAGCAGCAGAAGAGGAGGAAAGCTGCGGGTTACCAGCAGACCCCGCCCCCACATAGGCTTGAGAGATAGAGATACGGCAGTGGGCGACTACCCAGTGCCAGAGGCCGGTGAGCACCTGCCGAGTGAAAGCCAGGACGTTGAGGAGAGGGAGGACTCTCCCTGATGACCCACTAACTGAGGAGAAGAGCCCCAGGAGGAGCGAGTAGAGCCGGCCGAAATCACCCATGTCTAGCTGCTTGTTTCCCCCTCCTGCTCCTCCCGCTCCTCCTGCTCCTCCCGCTCCTCCTGCTCCTCCTGCTCCTTCTCCGGGTTTCCCTCCTCCTCCTACTACCGTCACTCTTTCCGCCCCTTTTTCGGCCTTAAGGGCCTCTTCTAAGACTCTTAGTACATGCCATCGCTGGCACAAAGGGGAAATATCCTCGAAAAAGCACGGGTGCACATGCCTCCGCCCTCTCCCCCTCCCTCCTTTACCCCTCCCCCCCTCCTCTTCCTCATCCTCATCCTCCTCCTCGTCCTCCTCCTCCGCCCGTCCCTTCCTCCCCTTCCCTCCTCTCTCCTCCCTCGCTCCCTTCTCTTCTTGCTCTATCACAGCAGCAGCAAGGGAGCAGAGCGTGCGCACATACAGCGAGAGATCCAGACCCGGGAGAAACGACTCAAGAGGGAGGGAGGGAGGAGAGGGAGGAGGATTAGTGGGAGAGGAGGCTGAGAGAGAAGGGGAGGTAGATGGGGGAGTGGGAGAGGAGGAGGAAGGGGAGGGGGGGAGGGGGGGCTGGTGGCAAGAGCAGAGACGTTCGCCAGTGCCCAGGCAGGAGGGGGGAGGTGGGAGGTGAGGCGGTGGCATGGGTCGGGCTGGGAAGCCTGCGGGTTGGGTGCAGCGCGCTGCAATGACGAGAGGGAGGGGCACACAGCGTGGGGAAGAGCTTGCACTGAAATCAGGCTATAACCACCAGACCGGCGATGAGGCAGGGTTCAAGAATGGTGAGGTGACGAAAAGAAGGGAGTGGAGACAGGAATGGTTACCAGGCTATAGCCATTGTCACTCGAAGGTTGGCATGCATACCAGGCAGGAGGTGACTTTTGAGTCGACTCAAAAGTCACCTTTGTTTCATACCAGGCAGGAGATGAGGCAGGGCTGAAGGGCCGACACGTGGCGGAGGGCAGGGAGCAGCCGGTACAGAGTACAGGAGCCACCAGGCCACAACCGTAAGTATTAGAGTGGCTAAATGCATACCAGGCAGGAGATGAGGCAGGGCTGAAGGGCCGACACGTGGCGTAGGGCAGGGAGGAGCGGGGAAGGCAGGCACCACGTCAGCAGAGGGATGGTGAGAATGTGGGCGGCAAATTGATCGGCTGCTAGTGATGCCCACACTGGTGAGAGGAGGTGGAGGAGGAGGAGTGGGGGGGGGGGGGGGGGAGGGAGGGGGATGCGGGAGGGGATCATAGAAGAGGGGGAGGGAAGGGGATAAGACAGATGGTGCTAAATTTACTCCACTCTTAGTTTGCCCCATCTCAAACCACCATCATCATCATCACCATCATCATCATCATCATCATCATCATCATCATCACCACCACCACCACCACCACCACCACCACCACCACCACCACCACCACCACCACCACCACCACCACCACCACCACCACCACCACCACCACCACCACCACCACCCACCACCACCACCACCACCACCACCACCACCACCACCACCACCACCACCACCACCACCACACCACCACCACCACCACCACCACCACCCACCACCACCACCACCACCACCACCACCACCACCACCACCACCACCACCACCACCACACCACCACCACCACCACCACCACCACCACACCACCACCACCACCACCACCACCACCACCACCACCACCACCACCACCACCACCCACCACCACCACCACCACCACCACCACCACACCACCACCACCACCACCACCACCACCACCACCACCACCACCACCCACCACCACCACCACCACCACCACCACCACCCACCACCACCACCACCACCACCACCACCACCACCACCACCACCACCACCACCACCACCACCACCACCACCACCCACCACCACCACCACCACCACCACCACCACCACCACCACCACCACCACCACCACCACCACCACCACCACCACCACCACCACCACCACCACCACCACACCACCACCACCACCACCACCACCACCACCACCACCACCACCACCACCACCACCACCACCACCACCACCACCACCACCACCACCACCACCACCACCACCACCACCACCACCACCCACCACCACCACCACCACCACCACCACCACCACCACCACCACCACCACCACCACCACCACCACCACCACCACCACACCACCACCACCACCACCACACCACCACCACCACCACCACCACCACCACCCACCACCACCACCACCACCACCACCACCACCACCACCACCACCACCACCACCACCACCACACCACCACCACCACCACCACCACCACCACCACCACCACCACCACCACCACCACCACCACCACCACCACCACCACCACCACCACCACCACCACCACCACCACCACCACCACCACCACCACCACCACCACCACCACCACCACCACCACCACCACCACCACCACCCACCACCACCACCACCACCACCACCACCACCACCACCACCACCACCACCACCACCACCACCACCACCACCACCACCACCACCACCACCACCACCACACCACCACCACCACCACCACCACCACCACCACCACCACCACCACCACCACCACCACCACCACCACCACCACCACCCCACCACCACCACCACCACCACCACCACCACCACCACCACCACCACCACCACCACTGTCGCATAAATCGCATGAACGGAAAAGTGTCATGAGATATATGGGACAGCGCGGAAGGGAAGAGGTGTAGAAAGTGTAAGGAAAATACGTAAAGAGGATTGTTATGCGGGGTAATGTGGGGAAGTACAGTGATGGGTCGAAAAGCTCATGGGATTGAGCGGGCTAGACAGCTGGAGGTGGCGAATGGGAGACAGTGTCCAGCTCAGTGGGGACAGGAGCGGCTGGTTAGGTCGACATGCAGAAGAGTGAGGGAGGTGAGGGGCCGGATTCAGGGGGACAGCGAGGAGGCGTAATCATTAGTGCTGGTAAAAAGGCTAACCTCGAGGGAGTGCGGGACCTGGGTGACGGAGTGCCTTCGGCTAGGAGTAGCGTAAAGGAGCTTGGTCGTCGTATGACAGCTACTCTGTTTGTTCTCTCGTAACATTGGGAAGGTTGTATGGCTCTTGCTAGTGAATACATTTTCCTGAGCTAAACCAGATCCATGAAGGGAGACCAAACTGAGGGGTAGCGAGCAAATCTTTGGCTGAGAGATTTCGCCTCGGGCTTTCATATACAAACAGAGTCTTATGGCGGGGATGTCCCTAAGAAGTGGCACCCGACTGCAAGGAGGAGACGATTCGCTGAGAGGGGAAGACAAGAACCTGTCAGTCGAAGGAGGTCAGGCTCCAGAGTCGCCATCGGCGGAGCGCGAGGAGACGCGCGAGGAGCCGAGCCCGGGGAGGAGAAGCGAGCGCGGGAGCGTCGTGATTCCAGCGGTTTCGCGATGCGCGCGGATCGTCAAGCGGGGGGGGGTTCTCCGCGACGGCGAGAGAGGCCTCGGCGGCCCGCGCACCCGGAGACGCAGGTCGAGGAGTCGGCGGACCGACAGCGCTGAGCGGATCCGAGGGAAGCGGCGAAGTGGGCGCGGGGAACGTCACCGGGGCCGTGCAGGGCACTGCCGGCGGGGTGTCGCATCGGTCGTTATGGGAGGAAGGAACCAGATATCGCTATACGAGCCTACCCAAGGTGGAGGTTCCCGCGCGCTTCACGGGGGACCAGCAGTCGGGCCCTCGCCTGAAAACGTACGCGATGCACGTGCGCAGCGAGAAGTTTTGTTGGGAGCAAGATGGCCTAGATCTCAGGCATTTCTTCCGGTCGTTGGGCAATACGCTGGCAGGGGATGCAGAGGCATTCTTTTTGGAAGTACGCGACCTACTACTGCAGGAGGAGGAGCGGGACGCCCTGGGAAGGGTCCGCCGAGATGCTGAGGGCCGGGCGCTAAGGTTGCAGGATCCGACAGAGAAGTTCCTGGAAGAGCTTCAGGTGCACTTCCCGACGCAAACCCCAGCAAAGCTACGAGAATTCGAGCAGCTGCGGAGGGCCCCCAGAGAATCGTTGCTCGCGTACTATCGCCGAGTGGATCAGCTAGCGGAAGACATCAGCTGCAACGAACCACGGATAGCGGTGGCGAAGTTCTTGGAAGGGCTGTCAGGGGATCTGGCCCGAACGGCAAGGGACCACACCTACAACCTGGGACCGAATGCGACGCTGAGGCAGGCGTATGAGATCGCATGGCGCAACGAGCAGTCGCTGAGCCTGTACGATCTTGGAAGGAGGTCGGAGCGTTCGGGGGGGCGTGAACGAGACCGCAGAGGAGTCAGCTGGAGTGGAGCTATGCTGGCTGGGAGTGAGGGAGAGGAGGAAAGGACGGAAAGTAGGGGATACAAGGGAAAACCGCAGCGAGCCCGGACGGTGACCCCTCCCCTGAGCGAGGAACCGGTGTGTTATAAGTGCCGGGAGCCAGGGCATTTCAAAAGGGATTGCCCCAAGCTGCAGACCTGCTCATATTGTCAGAGAAGGGGGCATTCCGCTGAGAACTGCTACACGAAGCAGCGAGAGGAGCGGGGCAAGGGAGGTCGGAAAGGCCGTATTGAGGCCCTGGAGGAAGAACTGCGAAGGCTGAAGGCCGAGGAGGAAGAGAGCGACGAGGAGGATAGCTCAGCGAGGCTAGCCCGATCTCGGGAGGGAGATACCGAAGAGAAGGGGGAGCCGTTCTTTATGGCCTCGGGGGGGGGCCGGGACAAAGAGGAGCTTGGTCTGCGCAGCGGAGGAGTCGACCGCCGACGTGAAGTGCAGCAGGGGAGGCGAGGGCCGAGGGCCCGAGTGAGTCCGACCCCAGGGCGGACGGGACCAGCAGAAGCTGAAGCCAGGGCCCCTGCAGGGGGCAGGCATGGCCCTCACCGTCATCCATTTGAGCGGATGGCGGCGAAGCCATGCGTGGTTGAGGCTATGGAGGGAGCAGTCGCTGTGGAAGGGAAATACCCCGGGACTACGATAATCGATACAGGGGCTTCACAAGTGCTGGTGGGAAGGCGCCTGGCCGAAAGGCTGGGGTTGCACCGAGAGGAGAATGTGACGCCTGAAGGGGTCAGAATCCAGACAGCAGAGGGAGGAGCAGGGAAATGGCTGCCCAGGACACTGAGGCCTCAGGAGGTGGTGCTGGCCCCAGGAGCAGAGGATGAGACGAGGATTCGTGTGCATTGCCTGGTCTCAGACTCAGACGACTATGACCTGTTGTTGGGAATGGAGCTGCTCTACAAAATAGGAGCAGTGGTCGACACTTGGACCGAGAAGGTTACTTACCAGCCTCGCTACTGGGACCACGAGCTGAGTCATGAAGAGAGCTTGGCAGTGGCTCTGCCGGCACGCTTCCTAAGGAGTCCGCCCGGATATCGAGGGCCCCCAATGGAGAAGGTGCCAGAGCAGAGATTCGAGGACGCAGGAGTGTATCTGGAGCGAGCAAGCGAGAGGAGAAAGAGGGAGGAAGCGGCGGGGCCACGACTGGCAGAGTACCGGGAAGCAAAGGGGCTCACCGAGCCCACATACGACTTCGAAACCTTCAACCGACCCATAGCCCTGCTAGAGTTGTTCGGGGGAGTTGGACCAGGATTGGCGGCGTGCGTACGTACGGGGCTCACCATTGCACGATGGATACATGTGGAGAAGAAGGAAGAGGTGCGCTGCATGGCATTTCATCATGCAAGGCTCCTTAGTCGGGAATTTCCGGAGAGGCTGCCCGTGGAAGTGGTCGAGAGGGCTGAGAGGGAGGCAAGTGCGATGAATGATATCGGCGCTGTTACTCAGGAGACGGTGGAGAGCTGGGGGCAGATTGACCTGCTAGTGGCCGGATGGGAATGTCAGGGGCTGTCCAGGGCGGGCAAGGGCAGGGGGCTATCGGACCCGCGCACCGGCCTCCTCCGGGATCTTATCCGAGTGATGAAGCTGATAAAGAGGAAACAAGGACCGCTATCCTACATAGTGGAGAATCTGGATGTGGCGGACGATGAGCGTGCATTGGTGAGAGAGGCTCATCAAGCTGTGACGGCAGAGTTGGGACACGGGGTAGCCTGGGATGCAGCACAAATGGGGTCCCGGACTCACAGAGTGAGACGCTACTGGCAGAACTTGGTCCCGGAGCCAGTGCTCAGAGATCAACTGAGTAGGATGCAGCGGCCCGTGCCACGGCAGGTCCAGGATATTCTAGAGCCGGGCAGGAGGCCGGCACCGGTAACGACCCCAGAGGTCAAGACACAGTTTCCCTGCAACCAAGTGGGAGAGCCGAGGCAAGCCTGGCCGACTTTGGTGGCAACACCTGGCAGTTACGCCTTTCGCATGCAAGGCAGTGAGCCGGGACCCGGGATGGTGCAAGTACTCGCTACGGGGCAATGGGAGGAGCCTATGGCGGTGGAAAGGGAGAGGGCGCTAGGGTACATGAGAAACGCGACGGCGGCGGAGGGGATTTCAGAAGAAGCGAGGAGGGCAGCGCTAGGGGGAGCCATCGACCAGCACGCGCTAGTCTGGTTGCTGTACCGGGCGGAGAAACGGCAGGAGGTGATGAGAATGCAGCTGCTAATGCACTGGCGGTGGAAGGACCTGCAAACGATGCTGGAGAGCGACCCAGCGCAGGCGCTCGACATGGCAGAGGCCTGGCAACGCATGAAGGCGGAGGCTTGGGCCGAGGTAGAGCGAGGAGAGAACCAGCTGAATATTCGGGGGATAGCGCTCCTGGCCAAAGCTATGCAAGAAGCAGAAGCCGTGGAGGAGATAAAGGAAGAAGGGGAAAGCAAGCCAGTAGAAGAAGAAAAGGGGCCACCGCAAGTCGACAGTCCACCGGCCTGGGAGATGGGAGACGGGCTAGAGGAGGAGCAGAAGGGAGAGTTGCGGCGTGTACTGGAAGGGGCAAGGGGAGCCTTCGCTTACTCTCTGAAGGAGTTAGGCAAGTGCACCATAGCTGAGATGGAGATAGAGCTGCAAAGCAACGAACCAGTGTATCAGCGGAGAAGACGTATGAGTCCAGGGGACAGAGACATTGCTGTTGCAAAATGCGCAGAGCTGTTGGAGGCGGGGTTGATCAGGGAGTCCACATCAGAATATGCAGCAGCGACAGTGGTAGCCGCAAGGAAGGATCTAACCGGTGAAACGTTAGCCCGACGAATGTGTGGGGATTACCGAGGTCTTAACCGGATCACCAAGAGCGACCGGTACCCAATGCCCATGGCCGAGGAGATCTTCGACAAGCTGGCTGCAGGACAGGTCTACTCAACCTTGGACCTCCGTCAAGGATTCAATCAGATACCAATCAAGGAGGAGGATAAGGCTAAGACGGCGTTTCATGGGCCAGACAGACTGTACGAATGGAATTATATGCCATTCGGGTTGAAGAACGCTTCAGCGAGGTTCCAGCGAGTGATGGATCAAGTGCTGAGGGAGGTACCGCGTGCACTCTGTTACATAGACGACGTGGTAATCTTCAGCGAAAACGGGTTGCAGCACGTGGCAGATGTAGCCGACGCCCTAGCAGCAATACAAGCGGCCGGACTGAAGTGCCATCCAGGAAAGTGTCATTTCGGGGTGAGGACAGTGGCGTACCTGGGGTTTCAGGTGGGGAAAGGAGGCCTCTCGGTGCAGCAGGCCAAAGTGGAGGTGGTCGATAGACTCAAAGCGCCAACAGATCGGAGCACCCTCCGCGCTCAGCTGGGCTTTCTGAGCTACTACCGCAAGTTCGTGCCGAACTTCAGCAAGACGGCAAGGCCCTTGAATCTGCTCCTGAGAGAGGACATGACCTGGAAGTGGGAGGCAGAACAGGATCTGGCGTGGAAGACCTTGAAGGAAGCAGTGAAGACCGCGCCTGTCCTGAAACTGCCCAGCCCGGATAAGCCCTACACGTTGTATACTGACTGGAGCAGCAGTGGCATGGGGGCAGTACTGTGCCAGCTGGATGGGGGGACGGAGAGGGTAGTAGCATATGCCAGTCGGTCATGCAGCCCAGCCGAAAGCAACTACAGTTCCTATGAGGGGGAAGGGTTAGCCGCAGTCTGGGCGGTGGAACTCTTCCGGCCTTACTTGCAAGGCAGGAAATTTACCCTAGTCACCGATCATCAACCTCTCCTGTGGCTGATGACTAATCAGACTCTGAAAGGGCGGAATGCCAGGTGGGCCATGCGGCTGCAGGAATTCGAGTTTGACGTGAAGCATCGGCCCGGGAAAACCCTGCAGCATGTGGACGGGCTCTCCAGGCAGGGGCCAGCAATAGCTGGGGAACCAGAGGTGGGAGCGGAGACTGTGCTTTCCTTCATGGCGGTGTCCGCCGAGAAGGAGGGGTGGACTCGGAGGTCCGAGGCGGCGAAAGGCTGTCGGGAGATTTGGGACGATGCTGCGGTGCTGCAGTGGGTTCAAGGTAAGGGACCCGAGGGTGGAGAGGTGCCAGAGAGGGTGAGGGCCCGGGGGATTCACTACCGTTGGCAGGATGAACAACTGCAGTTAGTGACGGGGGATGGCTGGAGAATAGTCCCCAAGCCGGAGGAGCGAGAGGGGCTGATCCTGAAGGTGCACACTAAGCTGGGGCACTATGGAGCCGAGCGGACGACTCAGTTGCTACAGACGATGTACTGGTGGGATGGGATGCGAAAGGAAGTGAAAGGGGTGGTAGGGGTATGCGAGGCATGCAGCCGAGGCAAGGCACGGCTGGAGCAGTCGAAGGCAGAATTGCAGTCTCTGCCCATTGGACAGATCGGGTACCGCTGGTCCCTGGATATGGCAGGAGAACTACCACTATCCAGGAGAGGGCAGCAGTATATCCTAGTGATGATAGAGCACACTAGCAAGTGGATTGAAGTCGCGGCCCTCCCGCGCAAGAGCGCGGCGGGAGTGTCGGAGGCTTTTGTCCAGCAGGTGCTGACGCGATTTGGAGCGTGTGGGGAAGTGCTTACCGACCAGGGGAATGAGTTTGCGGGTGAGTTCGACACCATGTTAAGTGAGGTGGGTATCAGGCATCGACGGACGTCGCGGTATCATCCGCAAGCAGACGGTTTGACGGAGCGGATGATCCAGACGTTAAAGCAGGGGCTGCGCAAGTACTGCGAAGAAGAGGATAGGCGGGAGTGGGACACTCATCTCCCTTGGTTAGCGGCGGGATATCGCTTTAGTAAGCAGCAAGCGCTGAAGGATTACTCCCCGTACTTCCTGCTCTATGGGAAGGAGCCCGTGCTGCCCGTGGATGCTCCTCGTATCATGAAGGAAGCGGTGTCGATTGCGGACCCGCGGACTTGGGCCGTGATCGCAGCAGCCAGGGCTAGTTATCTCCGCACTGCCATGCCGGCAGCCTTAGATAATTTGGAGGTGGCACAGTTGCGAGACGCAAGGAGGTACAGGCAGCGCAAGCAAGGGGAGGGCAATGGGGGTCAGGCGTTGGCACTACAGATTGGCGACGAGGTGTACCTGAGAGAGCGGAAGAAGGACACGCTAGACAGAGGTTTGAGTAAGGAGCGGTGGATCGTACGTGAGACAAGGGAGTCAGGGGTCCTATTGCTGCAGAATATGCAGGGGCAGCTGGTTCGGGACCACGTGTCTAATGTGGCGCGCGCTGGGAGGTCACGGCCTGATCACGAGGACGTGGGTCGGGCCGCGAGGGGGCAGGAGAGTGGGGCAAAGAGCCTCATAACATACAAGCGGAGGCAGCCACCAGGAGAGCCCGGCTAGTTGGGTGGCAGGATACCCGAAGAGAGAGCTGTGTGCGACAGCTGTCGCATAAATCGCATGAACGGAAAAGTGTCATGAGATATATGGGACAGCGCGGAAGGGAAGAGGTGTAGAAAGTGTAAGGAAAATACGTAAAGAGGATTGTTATGCGGGGTAATGTGGGGAAGTACAGTGATGGGTCGAAAAGCTCATGGGATTGAGCGGGCGAGACAGCTGGAGGTGGCGAATGGGAGACAGTGTCCAGCTCAGTGGGGACAGGAGCGGCTGGTTAGGTCGACATGCAGAAGAGTGAGGGAGGTAAGGGGCCGGATTCAGGGGGACAGCGAGGAGGCGTAATCATTAGTGCAGGTAAAAAGGCTAACCTCGAGGGAGTGAGGGACCTGGGTGACGGAGTGCCTTCGGCTAGGAGTAGCGTAAAGGAGCTTGTTCGTCGTATGTCAGCTACTCTGTTTGTTCTCTCGTAACATTGGGAAGGTTGTATGGCTCTTGCTAGTGAATACATTTTTCTGAGCTAAACCAGATCCATGAAGGGAGACCAAACTGAGGGGTAGCGAGCAAATCTTTGGCTGAGAGATTTCGCCTCGGGCTTTCATAACATACAAGCGGAGGCAGCCACCAGGAGAGCCCGGCTAGTTGGGTGGCAGGATACCCGAAGAGAGAGCTGTGTGCGACAGGTCCTACGCCTGAAATAGCAGAAGAACCTAGACTACATACAGGAGACACGCCTATGCTAGGCAACACCGGGTAATAGGGTCCAGTCACACTAGAGTCATCAGCATACATGGCATACAAAGCAAACCTAATCTTATCCATGTCCATCTCAAAGACAAGCACACAACGACGCACGAGGCTGTACCAGTCGGGGGAGTCCGCTGTATGGCCGAAGCAGAGACGGAAGTGTTCGTCGAGGCGGCAGTAGCAGCCCGCGGCGGTGTGACCGAGGCGGTCACAGACGGTGCCGCGGCGGGGACCGGACTGAAGCTGGTACTGGTAGGTGACCACACTGGAGCCGCCACCCGACACCGAGCTGCATCCCCCACCACCACCAGCACCGCCAGTCCACCACGGCGGCGGGGGTCTTCACAGCAACTGCTACTGCTGCGACGGCTGCTGCTGCTTCTGAGGCTGCTGCTGCTGAGGGTGCTGCTCCAGGGCACCAGCCCAGGACCCCTTGTCTGCAACACCGTCCCCTCCAGCACCTACGCCACCTCCGCCACCGTCGCCACCCTTGCCAACCCTACCGCCGCCACGCTCCCCCCCGGGCCCGGCGTCCCCTACCCTAACGAGACTGCGCTGAGGCCGCCGCAGCAGTCTCAGCAGCAGGGGCCGTCTTAGGAACAGCGGCAAAGACATCAGAGTAAGTGCACTAGAAGGGAGCACAGCCCTGGAAGATAGGGACCGCCGCAGTAACGCTCGTCTGAGCAATAGCGTGCTGGCGGGTCTCTGTCGCGGTCAGGGTAGTGACAAAGTCAATGACGGTGAGGTCAGGGTTGAGGGCAAGGAAGTGGTCGCGGGCAATGGCCAGGCGGTTAGGATGGCGTGTGGCAAGGAAGTAGAGGTTAGCGCCGAGGGGGGGAGGCAGTACAAGGAGCTGAGCTTCAGTGCTAGCAGCGAGGTAGCTAGTCTCTAGTGCACGTGAGTGGCGAGATCAGCAACAGTGGGAAAAGTTGCAAGGTCACGGAAGAGCAGGGGGAGGAGGAGACGATCGGCTGAGGCGGAGGAGGGAGTAAAATAGTGTGCAATAACAGCATCTAAGTACGCTTGCGCAGTCTCTAGTGTCTGGTAGCGGGGGCGCTCAGACAGGGGGAGGGCACGACTGATAGCAAGCTGCGCAACTACGCCACGCAACTCCAAGACGGAGCGAGCGAGCTCAGCAACTGCAAAGGCCTCACGCTCAGCGGGCGTGGGGGCGTTAGAGGGGGCAGCACGCGGGTCGGGGCAGGGGATCTTACTGTCAACGTGAACGGCCAGAGACTGGCCATCCTGGCGCTGTCCCTTCAGCGAGCGGCGGAGGTGGGCGAGCCACGCCTCAAAGTCGATCGCCCGACCCACCCCGTCCAGGCGGAGCACATCGTTCGCCATCGCCATGGCTGCAGCAGCTAGGGGAGGAGGAGGAGACGGCGGTGGAGAGCAGCGGTGGAGAAGGCCGGCGGGAGCGCCGGCACAGAAGGGGGAACCAAGGCCGGCAGGTCGGGCCGGCACAGCAGCACGACGGCTCGGCGACTCAGCAACTCTGCGACGCGGCGGCTCAGCTACTCAGCTGCTCAGCGGCACGACGGCTCGGCTACTCAGCGGCTCGGTGGCTCGGCGGCGCGGTGCGGCTCAGTGGCTCGGCGGCTCGGCGGTGTGGCACAGCGGCTCGGCAGCTCGGCGCGGCACGGTTTGGCAGGGCTGGCGCAGCGTGACGGGGCCGGCGAGGAGTGACGAGGCCGGCGCGGCGTGACGGTCGGTGCGGCGTGAGAGGGCCGGTGCGGCGTGACGGGTCCAGCGCGGTGCGGCGGGGCCGGCACGGTCTAGCGGGGCCAGCGCGACGTGACCTGGCTGGCGCGGAGTGACGGGGCCGGCGCAGCGTGACGGGGCCGGCACAGCGTGACGGGGCCGGTGCGGCGTGACGGGGCCGGCGCGGCGAGACGGTGTCGGCGCGGCGTAACGGGGCTGGCGCGGTCTAGCGGGGCCGGTGCGACGTGACAGGGCCGGCGCGGCGTGATGGGGCCGGCGCAGCTTGATGGGGCCGGCTCGGTCTAGCGGGCACGACGCAGTGGGACAAGGCCGGCGCAGCATGACTGGGCCGGCGCGGTCTAGCAGGGCCGGCGTGGCGGGACAGGGCTGGCGCGGCGTGACACGGCGCGGGCTAGGGCGCGGTCTAAGGCTAGGGCTAAGGCTAGGGGCGGAAGCGTAGGCGGGGAGGGGGACCTGACCTAGCGTGATACCATATTAGAATAACGCAATGAACTAGATTGTGCCATACTGGGAGGTTTTGTGCTATGGTGCTGTACCCTCTATGAGCATGCACCTATCTAGCCTATAACATATACAAATATATGTTGACAGTTGCCTCATTGTATTGTTTCCTCGCTATTCAACTATTCGACACACCCTCTTTGCGCTCCATTACACTTGACCATCAGAGCCAACGATCCTCAGCCTTCCGCTCTAGTTCCGCTGCTATACCGACACTTAGGGAGGCTGATGACGTATGCTTACTGCATATCCATTATTCGTAATATTAATTGATAATTACCTATAGGCACGACTGTGTTCGCAGTGCCAGCGTGCCGAAAGTGTCAAATTATATATTATATTATATATATATATATATGTGTAGGCTTGGTAGGTGTTAGGTGTCCTACAATGGATCCTATTGTAGAGGGTACAACACCCTTCTTGTATCCCTCTCTCTTCTAGCCCAATTCTCTTTTCTCTCCCTAGCTAAAACCTCTCGTCATTCCCATGCATAGCTAACTTCTTAGCTCTTTCAACAGAAAGCCGCCCAAAACTTTCCACAAAATTGTGGATTCGTCATCGTCTAACGCCATGATTCCTGAAGAAAGGGCGGCAGCACTCGGAGAAGTCTGTCTCACTCACAAATTGTACCAGCAGGAGTTGGCGCGCTCGTGATGACTTTTGAGGGGGGGGAAGTATGAAAGGATGAGGCTTGCCGAATCCTTGATCACAACCATTTGCCATTTGCTATTTATTGTGTGTTATTTTGTGCATTTTGCGTGGAGTGTTCCGTCACCATCACCGTATCTCTAGAATCCCTACCGTGCTTCTAGGTGGTGTTCCTACGGGCGGTTCTCCTCATCTCTAGAACTCTCTTAGAAGGTCCTAGTTACCCTTCCATAGAGTTCTCGTAGGTATAAATAGCATTGACTCTTTGCTTGTAGACATTCAATTCTTGATTCAATTCTTGACTAGTATCATTCAAGCTTCCGCTAAATCCTGGACCTGTGACACTGTGGTTCGATGTTTGCAGGCTACTTTTTTTTTTTTTAGCTGGTAACCCGGCTTTGTGTTTCTCCTCCTCTCACTTCACGCTAGCTGTCGTCCTTGTGATTTGGTGCAGTTTTTTTCTACTTAACCCATATTTCAGGTTCTTTCAATGTCCGGCTTATCGAATCGTCACTTGGTGGATATATCTCCAAGGCCCTCTGTTCTCCTGCTCTACGTCAGCTCTTTCACAACTTTCTCGGAATTGGTTGACAACGCTTCATGCATTGGCTACCCTTCTCCCTTGCTTACCTTGTTTGAGCCTTATATTACTTGTGTGCGGCGGCCATTGCCAATGCCACAGCAGGATCCATAATTCCCGGGCGTCTCGTCTTCGCAACGAGGCGCACCTTTCTTTTCATTTCGGATTGCGTTCTCCCTTGCCAGAGCCTCTGTTTTTTTATAAAGCATCTGGCCTTTTCCATCCCTCTCACCACTCTCTCATCATGGCTCTCACTCACAACGTTGACGATTCCATGGAAGAGGCTGGGCTACCCCCCACCTCCTTTGTGGCCTCTCTTTTTGCCAACGGTGATAGCGCTGCTGCCGAGCAACCTGCTGGTGGTCGCCCTCCCAAGAGGCCCTTTGGCGAAGGTTCTTCCTCTGCCAACCATGCGTCGGCTAGTGCCTCCACTCGTGCCATGGTCGTTGAGCCGCCTGCGGTCGCGACTCTCTCGGCTTTGCACTCCTCTGATCGCTACGGCTACCTACATTGTAATCGCGGGATCATTGGTGTTGAAATTGTTGAGGTGGAAGTGGACCCTGCCACGATCGTTGTCATCTTCTTCCAGGAATCCTTTGCCGCTCTACGTCCCCTCATCGTCGATCGCATCGCGGTTTCCGCGAAAGGGATTGGTCATCTTTTCGCGAACGGCACTACACGCGAGTATGAGTCCTCGGCTGGTGATCTCCTTCGCCTGCCGATCTGTTCCTACCTGAGGCACGTCTTTACCTGGCCTTCGGCAGATGATGCATCGGCTTCCGCTATGCTGTTCCCCTACTCCTACCGTGCTCCTGACGGGAAGATTGTGGTCATCAAAGTCTTCAAGGAACAATCTCCGGAGTATGTTACTGCCAAGTCTAATGGGGACACCACCATCGTCGTGCGTAACATTCCGCCCAGCCTCTCTGCCGCAGCCGTTCGCAAAATCCTGACTTCCAACTCGACGAACCCGGCACTTTGCTGGCTGAAGGATATCGAGCACTTTCATAAGATCAAGGATCCCTATGACAACACCCACCTACCGCAGTGTGCTGGCATTTTTGTGGCTGAATCTGGTGACAAGGAATTCAGTAGTGTGCCTGCTGTGCTGTGGCTCAAGAAATTCAAAGACCCGCTCCTGGTCAACCTCTCGTGTCACCTCTGCGAGACCTGCAACAGCAACCACCGCTCCCGCGACCATCGCTGCTTTGTCACGACGCGGAAGTCGAAGCTCCATTACCCCCACCAGATCACTGTTGCATACTGTAGCTACAGACTAAAACATCTGGGTAATCCTCTTCTTTCTCAGTTGGTTTCCGCTCT